TAATGCTTAATGACATTTCTTGCAAAATATTGATTTAATCTGGTAATCGACTTTTTATTTATTAATTTTCTCTATTGTTTCTTATTTTTAATTTTAATGATTTCTATTATCCTTACTATTTCCTTCCTTATGTTTGTTTTAGGTTTATTTTTCTCTTTTACTAGTTTTTTGAAGTGAGAACTTAATTATTGACTTGAGATCTTTTCTTATAATATGCATTTTCTCTGAATTTCTCTTGTACATTATTTTAGCTGCACCTGGCATATATTTATAGTTTTTTGTTTTCATTTAGTTTTATGTGTTTTTACAATTTTTGAGGTTTTTCTCTTTATTTACCTAGGTTATTTAATTTCTATGGATTTGGGATTTTTATGTTATCTTCTGTTACTGATGTCTAGTTAGATTCCATTATGGTCAGAGAATATACTTTGTACAATTTCAATTTTTAAAAGCTTCTTAACGTTTTCTTTACAGATTTAAAGATGGCCTCTTTTGGTAAGTGACTGAGAGGTACTTTTAATCTATTAATGTACTTAATAGATTAAGAAAGATAGGTCAATTTAATCTATTTAATAGATTGAATGGAGTGCTCTGTGTCAGATTCTGTTGCCAATCACAAAGCATTATGACAGGTATGTTTCTGTACCAACCTCAAACTCCTGAAAGAAAATGATTTTTCCCACCAAGCCAAGGAGGATTTGTGATGTCTTTCCCCTTATTATGAAGCAAAGAATGCAAGCCCTATCTTCAGAGAAAATCCATCAAGAGAGTGCAGACCTAGGGAGGTGTCAGGCCTACAGCAGCACTAACCTACTGGAATTAATAAACTATAGGTAACATTTTCTGTGATTGGTAATATGACCTTAAAGAAAGAAATGCATGTCTCAGTCTGTGTAAGATGAAACAAAACCACATGGGACAAATGGAGAAAATCTAGAGACCCTAAAAACTATTCATGCCTAAGTGAGTGAAAAGTTATTCCTAGTTCATTAAAGGGAGACTGAAAATCAAAAGCTTATTCTTTATAACTTCTTGTATATAATTAAATCGTATAGACTCCTGCAAACAGATTTACACATTCTCAGAAAGCCCTTTTCCTTTTTCTCAAGCCTAGGGTTAAAGAAACTCTCTAACTATTGTTATACATATGTACCTGCATCACATGGTAGAATCTAGAGCATGTTTCACTAAGAATGCCTGAACGTTCGATAGCTAAATCATTATTATTTCTTTTCTTTTCTTTTCTTTT